TTATAATTCGATACAGGTGCACATCCTGCAAGAGATTCCCAGGCAACACTGTGCGAATAGACTGGGACCAAATTAGGTCGCCAGTGCTGGATCTCTCTTCCATTCGACTGCAGGGGAAAACCTTCAACCACAGTTTCACCTTGATCACATTAATTATATCTTAACAATTACAAGTTAAGATTAGCAATTAGCAATTAGCAATTAGCACGATAGATAGATAGATAGATAGATAGATAGATAGATAGATAGATAGATAGATAGATAGATAGATAGATAGATAGATAGATAGATAGATAGATAGATAGATAGATAGATAGATAGATAGATAGATAGATAGATAGATAGATAGATAGATAGATAGATAGATAGATAGATAGATAGATAGATAGATAGATAGATAGATAGATAGATAGATAGATAGAGGAATTGTAATTACTATTGCTGGGACGAATGATTATTTACAGTAAAGCAAATTTTAAAACAAATCTGAAACTCGCATCAGGCACCTTAAAAGATATTAATTTGAGTCAACTGATATTTTTTTAAAAACGGGAGCCTGAACCTTGACAAATATATATATATATATATATATATATTTATATGTGATATATATATATGTGAAAAATCCAGTAAATAAATGACAATTTATATATATTATACATATGTCATATATACAATTTATATATATATTATATATATTCGTCTAAATATATATAAATGGTCATTTATTTACTGGATTTTTGTTTTTCAGCGTCCTGGATTCGATATTTACTGTGTGCATATATATCTATTTATTATTATATATAAAAATCAATATATATACACACAGTATATATAAAATGCAATGCAATTGCAGGATGAGGATAGTTTTCAATGTCAGGTCGGTATCATTGTAGGTGGTTTAGAAAGAAAGTCGCCAGAGGAGGGTGCTGTGCTGGCATTAACTTGTCTGTTTTACCGCATTGCAGGGTTGCCCTCAGCTTGAACAGCTTTGCAGGAGAAACTACACCAAAAAAAATGTCCAACAAGAGTCTGAACACGTTATGTGGTTTTTTTTTTGCCAAGTGTGACAATTTGCAGCTATTCTTATCTGGGCTGAACTGTTCCCTCGGGGCATATTGGCCACTGCACCAAACTTTTCTCTTTTTCTCGATTCCCTTGGCAGTGGTTTTTTTAAAAAAAACTTATTTTAAAAATATTTTAAATTGTTTTTTGTGAAAAAAAAGAGTCGACCCAAACACGCCTTCAACTCGTCGTTTTCAGGGGAAATAACACGCAATTGAGCGAAGACCTCGATGACAACAACACCACCAATAACCAAGAAAGACAGTGAGTATCCAATCGTTCCCATTAAATTGCACGTTAGTTGAATTCAGTCAACAAAAACGAAAAAATATATAATAATTAAAGGACAATTTGCTGGGGACGAGCAAAGGGTGGTGTTGGAGACACCAAATGAAGTGGTTAGAAGTTAGGACCGATCAGTAAAGTGGGGATGAACTGTTGTTTCGAATACCTTGATGACTATCTTAATTTTCCCCTAATAATATGGTTTAATTCTGTCTGGGAAGCCATCCATCAGCAAAGGCGACTGGAACTGTACGTTGCGCATGAGGTGACCCTGGATCAACAAGTCTCTCTCTCTCTCTCCCTCTCTTTCCCTCTGTGGATCAGGTTTAGAATTCGATCTGAAGACGATTGCATTTGTGTTCAAATGGTTTATGGTTATGATTGCATTATGCAATGCAATCATTGCATCTGATTGATTAACTTGTGTGTTTTCCTCCCCTGAATAAAATAAGATGTAGTGACAACACCGACACATAATTGTGGCATTTTGAATAAAATATGAGGTTGAATTTCACACACACACACACACACACACATATATACTGTGAATATATATATACTTCATCCCAATCCATGGCTGAACGTGAGTTAAACCGTATTATAATTTCTGTCTGAGATTTCTTGTTGTTGGGGTGGGGGTGGGAATGAATTGTAATAATTATTGCTGAGCGAAATAATAATTACAGTAAAGCAAATTTAAAACAAATCTCTAGCTCGCTCCAGGCACCTATAAAGATATTAATTTGAATCAACTGATTTGTTTTTAACAAAACGGCGCCCAGGATAGTGACAACCGATTAAATAGGTCATCAACAAAAAACATAATACATACGTACAGTAGATTGACAATAAATCGTTTGAGAAAAGGAGAAATATATATATATACTTTTTTCTCAAACACACAGACACACATATTCTCTTCTCTCTCACTCTCTTCTATCTCTCATATTATATATATAATAATAATATAATAATAATAATTATTATTATATTATTATTATTATATATCTTACAGACATCTCGGATGTCCTTCGAAGCAAGGATTCGAGAAATTAACAAAACTGCAAACGATTAAAAAGAAACCCACAAACAATATGATCAGTTCAGAAGAAGCCATGTGTGAATCGTAACAAATTTACATTGGCAAGAAAATCAACACCGAGGCGAAGGAAACGCGAAAAAAAAAACTTTAATCACACGAGTTCATCTTTTGGTGTCACCCAGAATGTGTTTTAAGAGAGTATCTGACGATTAAACGCTTTGAATGGGGGGTGGGGGGGTGGGAGGGGGTTATCTTGGGGTTGGGGGCAATCAATTACCTGTTCGGGGAGATCGTTGGTGTTATTTGAGTAGATTTGATGATTAGATGATGGTTTGTGACAAGTTGAGGAACTCTCCCAGCATCGAAATGCACCTTTCCTTGCATCAGCACCACTCCCCCCACCCCCCACCCCTACCACCCCACCACCCCCCACTCCCACACGCAAACACACACACACATACATATGTACACACACACACACACACGCGAGGGCGTGAAAATAATGCGCATCGTTACGTGCATGACTTGAGATAGCTTCGCAGTTGGGTCAGTCAGTCAATCCCTTGGCAATAAAATGGTCTGTGACTGTTCTCCAGCCCTTTAATAATTACCTGATGTCTGGCTGAACAGTGTCACCCGAGCCTTTGAGCAAGGAGAGCCTGCGATCTGTTGACTCATCCAATGTTTTGCTCTCTTTGCTCGACTTTTCTCGTCATTTGAGAATTCTCTCAATAAGAACGAAGTTTCCAGATCGAGGGTTCACACACACACACACACCACACACACACCACAAACCTGGGAGAGAGTGGCTGTTGAATTTATGAGTGGAAACCAGGAAGTGACTACACCTAAGAGACAGATTAAACCAAAGCAAAGGTTATTTGGCATAAAACAAATTTGGATTTTTAGCTGGGGCGAAAGGTAATCAGCGCGTTAACATAGCAAATAAAGGGATATTCGCACAACATTGCTATTATTTGGGGACTTCTTTTTCTTAAACAATCGTAAAATTAGTCATTTATTAAAATGTGTCGAGTTTTGGGCGTTTAAAATGCGCGCCCCTGGTTAATTTAGCCACACATGTTCGTTTCTTCTGCAGTTGCAAATTAGTCAGACAGGCTAGCCTGCAAAAACGCACAGTCACTACACCCTTACAGTAAATCTTTCTGAAGCGCTTCGAGGCGTCTTCCTGGCGTGAAATTCTCTCTCTCTCAAAAGTTAAGGATGATTTAATTCTTCTGTGTATGCACACTGAATTGCAGTAGGTTTTGCGAGACCACTGTGTTCATATCATTACTTGGGCCTAATATAAATAAATAAAAATAAATATTCCAATATTACAAATAAATAATTCCAATATTATATTATCAAAATTATTGTATGCGATAATGATATATAAATGCATACAAATATATGTTATGCAACAAATACATATATAGTATTACAATAATATAAATACAGAAATCTGTAATAATTGCTACCTGTCTAATAATTATAATTCAATAACCTGTTGGTGTGTGACTAAAGTGGTGGATTTAGAGCAACGACTTAACTGGCTCAATAGCTGAGAAATAACCGAGAGCTCGTTTGACATTAAAAGCAATTTAGTGGGGAAAAGGGGGTAAGGTGAAGGGGGTGGGGGGTGGGGGGCGTCAATATAGCGCATCCCACAGTGGGGAAAAAAAGGTGTGGCCCTAACAAAACAGCTTCGACTGTAGATCTGCAACACACAAACATGAAACATTAGCAACTCCACGTTAGGTGTTCTCTCAACCGAATGAATGGACGTTGAACACGGGATTGTGGAAGGAAGAATTCATTGCAAAGCAACGGGATAAAATAACACCGACAAAGTGTGTTACATACGCTCATTTATTGTGCCATTTGTATGTGTGTATTATATATATATATACTGTATATGTATGTACATCACACGATATGTTTCAAGATAAACTTTGCATTATACATTCCGCCATGTAGAAACTACACCACACACACGGTTCAAACAGGTCCACATTTTTTTTTTATGAAACGACCGCTTTAGAGACAGCACATACACACTTTCCCCATCGATATTGCATTGAACCCACAGATGAAAATGCTTCCAGTCTCTTAGCCAGAAACTGAGAATGAGATTTCAGAATGTCAGGAGCATTGGCTAACGCGCGGGTCCCTCAATATTTAAGATGCTCCACGTCTATTGATGTGTCTTATTTTTTTTCTCTCTGAAGGCTGGTGCTTTTTTTTTTCCCCCCCCTCCTCCTTTCCAACTGATTTTGAAACGACGAATCTCATCGGTTTTAGCACAGATGGAGCCGTACAGAATTGGTTTGGGATCATTTTCAATGAACCTCCCGACGTGAAAGGCATTTTGCATTGTATTGTAATTTTTTTTTGTGTGTGTGTGTGTGTGTGAGAGGGGGAGGAATTGGGTGATTGATGCTGTATTTTTGCGTATTTTGGGGAAACACTTAAGAATTGTGAATGGGTGAGGGTATATTTTGGTTCGCGTGGAAAAAAACACTTAACGATTGTTTTTAAATTTCATGTTAACCCCATCCCTTCTCTCTCTCTCTCTCTCCCCCTCTCTCCCTCTCTCTCTCTCTCTCTCTCTCTCTCCCCCTCTCTCTCTCTCTCCCTCTCCCTCTTGGGCTCTGTGCGAGAAAGAACCTATTTCGTGCGTTAAAAGGCGCGGTTGCTCGAGATGTTTTGAGGGATGGGGGGCAAACGCACGGGATTGAAAGCTTCGAACAACCCCTCCATCGAATGGATGAAGCCGGACACGCTGCAGATGGAGCCTATCACGAAGATGGAGACATCGAAAAAGACGTGGTGCCATTGGAGTTGTCTCCACTGCAGTTTGAGGTGAAAGAGACTCGGTAGAAGAAAGCAGAGACCCGCTCCGGTTAGGCTTCCAGTCAGCCCCATTAATAGGGCGAAATGGGGGATGTAGATAGCCATGAGCAAGGTTGACACCACCAAAACACAGCGCAAGGCCAGACTCCAGGACTTGATCCTCCCATCCACCCCGTAGCAATTGGGAAACAGGGCCATACTCCCTTCTTGGAAGAAGGATTTCTCGAAGACCTCCACAGCCGCGAAGAAGGGGAGAGGGTAGGACAGCAGGGCTTTGGCCACCAGGAAGAGGTTGACCACCGCCCTGATGGTGGTGGGCAGGTTGTCGGTGATGACCTCTTCCGTCTGATCTGCCCAGGTCAGGTAAGCCACCAGAGCGAAAAGTCCCTTGAGGATGCAAGCCGCTATGTGGGTCCAATTCATCATGCTGTGGAACTCTTTGGGCTGCTTCATGTTGCCCTCCAGGGAAGGTAGGAAGATCTGCGAGGTGTAGCTGAAGACGATGATGCCGATGGAGATTGGGAACTTCTTGACGTCGATGTAGAACTTGACCTTGTCCCAGGCCCAGTATCTGGCCCTGGAGAGGCAGTAAGCGATCACTAGGACGTTGATGACGAAGTGAGCCAAGGTGCAGAGCAAACTGAACTTGGAGACGGCCTTCAGGTTTCTGAGGAACGCGCAGGGGAGCAGGAGAGCGGCTGAGAGGATGGACCAAGACTTCTGTGAGATGGGCAGAGTTTCGAAGCTGTTGTACATGAGGTTACCGCTCACCACGACGTACAGAACGCAGGTCATGACCAGCTCGATGAGCTGCGCCACGTTCACCACGACCCCCCCCAACCTGGGGAAGCGAGGGGAGCAGCAGGCGTTGGCAATGTCCACGTAGGTGTCCCGCACCCTCACCAACTGGCCGTCCTCGTTCTCCTCGTACAGGCAGGCGATCAGGATCTTCCCCGTGTAGCAGCACACCACGGCGGCGAAGATGATGAGGAACAGTCCCAGGTAACCTCCGTGTAGGATAGCGTAGGGTAAACCCAGCACAAACATCCCCTGAAACACACACACACGCACACACACACGCACACACACACACACACGCACACACACGCGCACACACACACACACAAACGCACACAAACGCGCACACACACACACACACACACACACAAACGCACACAAACGCACACACACAAACGCACACACACACACACACACAAACGCACACACACACACACGCACACACAAACGCACACAAACGCACACACACAAATGTACACACACACGCACACGCACACAAACGCACACACACACACACAAACGCACACACACACACACACACACACGCGCACACACACACACAAACGCGCGCACACACACAAACGCACACAAATGCACACACACGACACACACAAACGCACACGCACGCACGCACACACACACGCACACACGACACAGGGTGAATGAATACACACGCCTCTCCCCTTCTGCGAGACAGAACCGATTTAAAAGGCGTTGCGGGAGTGTAAACCGATCGTCGGGCGCAGCGAAAATTGCGCTGTTTCTTAGAATTCGATGCGGCGGTTAATAACATCGTTAATAATCCGCGCATTCGCTCTCATTTGCCCATCGACTCAAAGCACTCCCCCCCCCTCCTCCCCCAACCCCCCCCCATATAATTATCACATCGTATATCTGCTGAGAGATTCAGCCCAATTTTCGGCCTCTGTATTTATTCATTCATTTATCTCTTCATTATTTGTTAGAAGTCTAATTTTGCGACAAATATTTGTAAATTAATAAATGTGTAGATATTCGATAGTTATCATTCGGCCGCCGCGTTTCTCCCCCCAAAATACACAGTCACTCCACTTTGCAGTATAATCCTGTGAAGCGCTTTGAGACGTCTATGGCAATCCATCCACGCAAAGATTATTATTATTATTATTATTGATGCGTATATATATATATATATATACACACATAACACCATTAAAAAAAATCTACACCGACAACAATCGGCAATCGGTCGTTTGCAGTGCGTTAATTATCGCATCGGATCCGTTAAGAAACAGCGCGAATTTTTTTCGGACGTTTAAACAATTCGAGAGAAAACAAAATAGGATTCCGAAAAAAAGAAAGAAAGAAAGAAAGAAAGAAAGAGAGGTACACAAGAGTGCAATAATCGGCGCTCGGTAAGGAGTGCGCATCGCATTAAATGATGCGCTTATTTCACCGCTGTTCTGATCATTTTGGACCATTTTTTGGACCATTAAAATCAAATTGCGCGCAATATAGGTGTTGCACATTGCGCGGCGCTTCGCAGCCGACGATTTGGCGTTAGTAGAAAATGCGTCGGGTTTCGGTGACACCGCACGAACCCGCGTTCCCCACCACCGCACATCGGGATTGCCGCAATTTTTAAGGTTATAATGGGTTTTAACATCGCGCTGTGGCGGTCCCGCACAGTCACTTTATTCCAACTCCCTCGTCACTTATTGCTTATTGAGAGGACACATCGAATCTGTTAAGAAACAGTAGTAGTAGTAGCAGTAGTAGTAGTTTTTTTTTTTGCCTTTACCCCCCCCCCCCCCCCCCCCCACCCCACCCCACCGTGAAGGGGAAAAAGGGGGGGGGGGGGTCAAGAGTTAACGGAGTCGGGCGTTCGCTCGCGGGGGAGCGACAGCGTTAGCGAAAGGCGCGGATTTGCACGAAACGCTGACCGGCGATAAAAAGCGCAGAGAGATGCGTGGAACGAAAAAAAATAATAATAATAATAATAATAATAATAATAAGACCGGTACCTGAATGGCGTTAGTCACATTCCACCCGGCTTCCCAGGCTGTGATCTTGGGTCTGTCCTGAGCTGCCAATTCCGAGCACATCGCCGCGTCCTTCGAGGCTGAAGTCGGGGGACCGGTGCCATCTCTCTGGTAGTGCACGTCCCCCTCCACCCCGTCTCCCTCGCCCTCTCCCCCTCCCTCGCCGTCCACCGAGTCGGACTTGAGGACATCCATCTGCAAGCCCTGCCTGTGCTCGTACTCCAAGTCGTCGCACTGGGCAAAGCCGACCGCCTCCTCGCCCGTGGCCGCCTGGAACCCCATCCTGGCGAACACGCCGCTCACTTTCGCTTGCGATTTGTTGGACACGGAGGTGGCCACGTTGGAGAGCTTGTTCCTGATCAGCATCGCCATGGCGGGTGGCTTGTGTGGGATAACTCGACGCGTGTGTGTGTGGTGTGTGTGTGTGTGTGTGTGTGGTGCGTCCGCGTGTGTGTGTGTGTGTGTGGTGTGTTCGTGTGTGTGTGTGTGTGGAGTAATTTTAACGATCCAGGCTTTGTGTGTGTGTTTGTGTGTACCTGTGTGAAAAAGCGTCGGAAGCTGTTATGAACCCCTCCCCCACCCCCCACCCCCCAAAAAAAATAATAATAATATTACGGTAACGATGTAATGCTATCTCCAATTCTTACTGAAAGTGTGCCTTTCCTTCGCTTGGTTCCCTGGGATCATGACAGCCTCCAAACTTGCAGTCTATGGCTTGGCATCGTGCATCTTCAACTGGGCTCCTCTTCCCCAGGAAGAAAGAAGGGGAAAAAATCACCTGGGATTGAAGCTGAATTTCTCTCTCTCTCTCTCTCTCTCTCTCTCTGTAGATGTTCTCTCTGCTCCCAGTCAGAGCCGCCAAGCTTTCAACCCAGAATGATGTCTGCTCTGCTGCCGAGAGCCTGGGGGGGGAGGGAGGGAGGGAGGGAGGGGGGGGCAACACAGATGAAAAGCGACGTGATGTGCAACTGGCAACGCAGAGCAGAGCTGTGCCCAACCACCGGCTCCAAACGCGCGTACATCTCATCCCATCCCATCAACCGCCAAAGGTTCGTGTTATTATCCGCGTGGGAGGGGCACCCGAAAAATCTCCTCTTTTTTTTACATTTAAAAAAAATGTCCGAAACCGAAAGGATAATCGCGGAAAACTGTGTTGATTCCCATTGTTATTATTGTTAATTATACTATGAATCCCATTATTATAACTAATAATAACACGGTTGCGTTGTATGCCCAATGCAAGGGTTATAGCATGAACAGCTAAATCTAGTTTACTAGTGTTAATATTAATAATAATATAATTGCATTGTATAGAAATGCAAATAAAAGGATTATTCGTATTATTGACACTTGCATAAATAATAGCACAATCTAGTCTACTAATGGAGTAGAGGTGGAGTAACTAATATTTTACCCTAGTTTTGTGTAACTTACATGTACATCCAAGCTCCCATTGTAACGCCTAGATAGAATTTGGGTTGGTTTTATTAGTATTTATATGTTAAACATACCTTATTGTGCAGATTTGCTGTCAGTTGGTATATACTCTGGACATCTTTGATGTGTCTGTGCGGTACAATCGCCCGATCCTTGTGATGTGGAACCGCTTCTTGGCGTCTTTTCTGTAACAAGTTCCACCCAGTTTGGACCGCAGTGGCTTCGGATCTCACGTATCCGGATCCGCATGCAAATGGTTTGTGGAGGAGGTGTGTGTGTGTGTGCGTGTGTGTGTGGGAGGGGGGGAGAGAGAGAGGGAGGGTCTGCTTAACCGCAACGTGTGACTGGATCTGTGAACATTGAACCACCCTAACAAAATAAAGTACAACCCAGCTCAGGTGCAACCCAGTTAAGGTATTTCACTTGAGCAAAAAAACACACACACACACACAAGTTGCCTTTCACTATTGCAGTTATGAATTCAAGGTGAGCATCCAACTCGAAATTATCAGGAAGACTTAATGGCGTTCAAACTGAACTCCCAATTTCTTTTTTTCTTTTAAAATATTTCATATTTGGGTGTACTTTGGGTTTTTTTTTTCCGTGGAAAATAAAACATGGCATTTCCACATTACATTTGACATCACTTAATAGCTTCAATGGGTGGATCTGGTGCGTCTGAATTTCACCTTGGACAGTTACTGTGAATCCGACCTGTTTCACTGTAGTTGTATTTCACTGTAATTATGTGATGGTTGTGGGTTGGTGGGGAGATGGGGGGGGAGTGGGTGGGGGGATACAGATTACCGGAGAGCTGTTCACTTTTATTTTTCCCCTACGTTTTCCCCATCCGTCTGTTTTAAAATCGCCATGAATAAAATACATCTGGTAATTCAGAGAAAATGGGGAAAATGTCTGAACAATTCTAGGACTAGATAGATAGATAGATAGATAGATAGATAGATAGATAGATAGATAGATAGATAGATAGATAGATAGATAGATAGATAGATAGATAGATAGATAGATAGATAGATAGATAGATAGATAGATAGATAGATAGATAGATAGATAGATAGATAGATAGATAGATAGATAGATAGATAGATAGATAGATAGATAGATATGAAAGGCTACAAATATACTCACATCTCCTTTTTTTAGTAGCAGATAAAAAGCAGATAAAAGGGAAGCAAAAAGCAAAGGCAAAAGAAAAAATTCCGTTCCTCGTTAAAGATTATTAAACGCGCTCTCGGGTTATGGGGAGGAATTGGCAGTGCAGTAATTCCGGCTGCGGTATCTGTGTGTCTGTGGCTCTCAGCGGCTTTCATTCGATGTCCGTTCAAGCGAACGACGTATTATTAGGAGAACAGAGAGAATTGCTCGGTCTGACGGGCGGAATCGACTGGGGGCAGAGACGAGAGGTATTCATTCCCCTGCTCTTTCTGCACAATTGCAGTTAGAATCCTGCTCATTGGGATATGCAAACGCTTTGGTTATGTATATACTATATATATCGATATATACTTGTGTGTATATATATTATATATAGTAAATGAAACGACGATTTCAAAGTTCACATTAAAATATTTTTAGCGCACGACAGATACCGGTACATACAGTACAGTACACACGTCGAGGCTAAGGCTTAGAGTGTATAAAATCTGTTTTGTTGGGTGGAATGATGTACGAGAAAGTCGTGGGTGTCATTGGATCCTAAGATACATATTTTTGTCATTTCAACCCTGTTTGGGTGCAGTGTGAGTGAACCGTTAGTAATATTCCTTTTAATTCATTGCAACTTGGATTGAAAATAAAAGGTTGTTCCATTTTTTAAGGGGATGTTGGTGGCGGGTGGGGTGGGGGGGGGTTCACATTTTTATTACAGATCATTTAGAGTTTTGTCCAGCAAAGGTTCATTGGCCAACACTTATTCTCGTTCATTATTTTTTTCGTTCTGATTGTGAAGTGCGGTGTGTGTTTGAGCTCTGAAATCCGAGAGAATAATACAAGTTAAGCAAATCTCCTATGAAAGAGAGCAACCGCTGAACATCCCAAACAATACTAAAAACAAAATGCTGCAAATGTACAGGAAATCAATGCGCATTCCAAGAGAGGAAGCGTTTACTGGTAAGATTTTTCATCAGGACCTGGAACATTAACCTCTCTCTCTCTCTCTCTTTCTCTCTCTCTCTCTCACACACACACCAGTAGTTCTTCTGTCTCACACTGGGGTCTTGCAATTTTGCTCATCAAACGGGATTTTGTGTTTTTTTGTGTGTGCAAATACGAGCGAAACAGTTCAACGGCTTCTCTCTCTCTCTCCTCTCTCTCTGTAGCTTGCAATAGTACAGCTCTGTCGGCCATGAAATTAAAAGATTATTTTCATAGTGAGGGAGAGAGGTAAATAGAGATATGGAAAGAGAGTGAGAGAGAAGGATAAAGAATGTCTTCGATCAATAAAGGAATACTATACACGAGCTCCCGAGATTCCCGTTTCTACAGATAAATTTACACGAAGGACATTATTCTCCCCCCCCCCCCCCCCAGTCCACCCTTGTGTTATGATTCTTTTTTTTAATCCGACTCCTGAAAAGAATGCATCCAATTGAAGGGAATCATGTGCAACGATGCAACTCGTATCACGTTGGTAAAGGTAACGAAAGAAAGCTGTGTTTGGGAAAGATCTCAAAATGCACCATCTGTGTCAGATCACCGGGAACCTGGTAAAGAAACAGCAAATTACACGAAGAATCAGCGACATCCCAATTCCTGGAAAGACTTCAAAGAATCTCTAGTTTCATTGCATTATTACAGTATATTTAAACAACCCCCCCCCCCCCCCCCCCCACACACACTCTCTCTCACACACACACACATACATACTTCCAACCAACGCACATATGAACACAAGCATTTGTCATTGAACAATTCATCAAACGGCGTGTGTTACAGAGTCGTCTGACCTTGGTGTTATTTTTAGGGAGTAAACAACATCAGTGGATGTCTGCAGTGATGTCAATGCGTTTTACTACAATAATGCTTGCATCGTCTTTACACAGTTTGACTGCAAAGCGAAGTGACTGTTGTATTTGTAGGCGAACAGCATGTTCCTATTAATTGCATTAGCCAATGAATGTTCTGTTGCTATGATAGTAATAAATGATAATAATCCTTGCATATGATAGAGCGCCTTATCACGCCATCGGGACGTCTCCAAGCACTTCACAGAATATACTGTACAGTATATATTTTGTATACTTTGTGGGCGAAACGGCGGCAAGATTGGGTGTAATTTGGGTTTATTGGATGGATTATCTTTTGCACTGAATCTATTTCCCAGCAGAATAATGGTTCCCCAATTCTGAAAGGAGACTCGAGTGTAGCCTTCCCACCAGTTGGACTGTGTGTGAGTGAGAGAGAGAGAGAGAGAGAGAGAGAGAGAGAGGGGTGGTGTTTAAATATAATAATATTCAACATGGGGATATTGCAAACCCAACAATTCAATTTCAACATTCCAATGAAAGGAATAAATCACATGTATCTCGCAGGTTGACGTATCAAATGACTACTCCAAGTAGTTACAGTGACATTTCGCAAACTACACATCAACTGGTCGCTGGTGTTCAGTTTTAAAATTCTTCCAGGGGAAGCAAAGATCTCTTTATTGACGCCATCATCTTTTCAAATTGGTGGACACCTTTCGTCGTCGTAAACAGAAGTGTATGTCGTCTTTTCTTTTCAAAGTCACTGCAGCCTTGCATGAAAGTATACCAAATTCTTGCAAACTAATTATATACCAAATATATGCCAAATTGGTGCAAGCTGTTGCCTGTACCATTGCAAACGAAGGAATAAGAATGAACTGATAAAGGTTTCTATTATTGTCGTCGTCCTGATTGAACGTATTAGATGGACAAGGCAACGGTTAATGCACCTTTAGACCCCAAAGCAACTTTCACAAAAGACAATCATATTGTTCCAAACCACAATTGCTTGTAAAGCCATA